GGGATGGCCGCCTCCAGGAATTACAATGATCTAAGTATCGTTTAGTGAAGGGCTCTAGCAGTGACCTGGGAAGGGTGAGTGCACCTTACGGACTCCATCCATTTCTGCCCAAAGCCTGCTTCTGCACTTGTGCCCTTGAAGGTTCATGGAGACTTCGCTGTCCTGTGGCTCGCTTTCTATTGATGAAGAATCACCAGTTCTCACTCTCAAAAGCCAAACCGTCGCCCGGCTGTGCCAATCCTTCTTTCAAATTCATTTTCAGACTCCACCATTCCCTCCTAACGCAGACTCACGTCACTTTATATCGGTATAAAGCATCTCTTCAGTCACTTTGTATCCGTATAAAGCATCTCTTCCATTCGCTCTTCTCTCCACATTCCAGACTCTTCCACCCAGTTTCTACCCTCCCGTTATATCATATGCATACCTGTTCAGGGAGTTTGTAGACTCCATCCAGTTTCTACCCTCCCGTTATATCATACGCATCCCTGCTCAGGGAGTTTGTAGGCTCTGCCCAGTTTCTACCCTCCCGTTGTTATGTCATATGCACCCCTGCTCAGGGAGTTTGTAGACTCTGTTGCTTCTGATCAAATGCAAACTCATTAGATGAACTTTGAAGATTGACCAGGAAACCCTGGGCTGTGACTGTCTAAGCGGGTATCCTCCAAGCGTCTCCAGTACAGTGCTCTGCTCAAGTGTGATGTGATCTCATATTTCAGCTTCTGTGCTAACAGACTGGGTTAGTGGAGTTTTTGTTTGTTTGATTGATTTGTTTTTTCATTTTTTAATATGCTGTGCTCTTCCTGACTCCTAGTTTTGCTCTTGATTTCTGCTGGGAGCATGAAGAAGAAAATGACTAAAGATAGGTATTCTCATATATATTCTTTATACCCAGAAATTTCAAAGGAGTCTGACAGTTTCTCTAGATAACATGGGCTATTAACAAATCTCAGCCTTTTAGATTTATGGAAGGGGTCATGTCTGGCCCTGTTACACACATCCTAACAGCCTTGGAAGGCACAGGAACTAAGAAAGGCCAGTTTCTTAGACAGGAGAGCTAGCACTAGCCTCTCATTGGGTTACTAATCCCCCAAACAACAGCTACACTGTGAAGTATATCTCAGCATCAAGGAGCAGTGTGGAACGTCCATAGGGCAATGCTCCCTAGTAGTTTATATTTGTCTTAATAGTCCACAATCAGCTACCGCAATTATGGGGACAACTTGAGTATTTAATTTGTGTCAAGCACTTTGCTAAATGCTTCACCTACAAGGTGACATCCCATTCTTACTTCCATAGGCAGCTGAAGGAGAGCTGAAATCCAACAAGGCTGATGGCTGACTTATCCCAGATCGTGGTGATAATGGTGAAGATGAGCCCCAAGGCACCTCTCTCTCTAACTTCAAAACCCTAAGCTTCTATATTAAATGTCTCAGGAATAAATACCAAAAAATTCTAAAAAATTAATGAAGTATTAACCATATTAGTCCTGTAAGAAATGAATTCTTGGAGGCTAGAGAGATGATCACTGGTTAGGACCATTTGCTGTGTAATCATGGGACCAAAACTCTAACCCCAGCATGCCTGCTATATTGTGTCCTGGAAATGCCTATAATTCTGGCTCTGAGCGATCCAGTCCTCACTTCTAGTATCAGTATAGCACACACACACACACACACACACACACACACACACACACACGTAAACAAAATCATAGACATGAGTGGTATGATCAAGATATATTTTATACACGTATAAAACTGTCAAAGAATAAACGATCTTCAGAAAAAGAAACAAATGGCACTATTCACAAGTGAATGTGTCTCCCTTCCCCTTTGACTCTGCATATTCATCAAGAATAAATCCACAGTGAGGAATTACTCCTCATAAGTCCAGGTTCCTTCCCCCATTCGCTATTAAGTAGAGGATAATTTCCTTTGCTTTTTTTTTTTCTTAGTAAATATGTGGTCCACAGGATACACACACTGGAATTCAAAAGGCATGTACAGCTTGCATGATGGCAAATGTCCCTGTGTGCGTGCCTCTGGGACACTCCACACACCCCTTATTTGAGAATTCAGAGGGTGTGTCCCAAATATCTTCAAAGCTTCTTTTGGTGAACTGACAGCTTCGCATGGAAAATTTCCAAGCCCTTGGCTCTGAGTGACCCCTGAAAGGTTGCACATCTGGTGTGTATAAACACGTAAGAGGACCTTTTTCCTCGAAGAGAAGTACTGAGTCTCTGAGATCAGCATAGTAGGAGTAGGGCCTTTAGGCATGTGTTCTTTGTTCTTAATGTTTGTATTTATTCTTTGATAATTTCACATATTTATACAATGTATTTTGAGCATATCCATCCACCATTACTTCCTTCCAAGTCCCCCTAGTGCTCCCAACCCATATCCCTAACAATTTCATGTCTTTCTGTTTTTGTTTTTCTAAACATGTGTTCTTGATGGATGCTATCAAGTGATATAAACGGGCAAGGCTAAGGAACACCGAGAATTACCCTCTGCCTTAGCGTCTATAGGCAGACAGCCTTCCTACACAAATTGAAACACATTGATCATGACACTAAAATAATTAATCATGATAGATTCTTTTGACTGGTTTGGTGTTTTTTTGTTTTTTGGTTTTTTTTTTTTTCAGGTTTCTTTATGTAGCCCTGGCTATCCTGTAATTCTCTTTGTAGATCAGGCTGGCCTCAAACTTAGAGATCCTCCTGCCGCTACTTCCATATAAGTCTTCCTAAGCATCTCTTTGTAGAAGTAGAGGATGAGACTTACTTAAGGTGTAACTGTTTTCAAAGAGATCTATTAAGAAACACGAATTTCAAAAATGGACATTTGGAAAACATTTAAAATTCTAAAAAGAGACTGAATTAATTTAAATAAATTTAAATGTATTGATTAAAAATGTCCAAGAACTCTCATCTAGGATCAAAAAAATTCAAAGACAGCGCTGAACAAATCTCAAGTCACCATTTTGGACTTTGAAGAAGAGTTTATTCACTCGGTCGAAGAAGAGTTTATTTGCTCGGCCCAAGGAAGAGACTCCCTTCTCTGTGGTTCTTTCCTGGTATGGTACATTTCTTTGTCTTGTCTAAAATTATGTAATACTTTCACTTGGGTAAAGCAAGATTTATGGACTGAGAATTTCTTCATAAATCTGTTGATTAATTTAACAGGACAAGTCCCAGTGGGACGTGAGGAGAAGGGCAATTAGATGCCTCCTTTCTTCCCTCGACTACTCTTTGTATACAGGCCATTACCTGCAATTTGGAGCTATGAAGTGTGTTGAAGACTGGAAGGGATTTTCTTGTACTTTTTAGAGAAGTAATAAGACATAATGAAGGGACTTGGACTTCCAAGGACCTGTGTTGGGATCACAACTCCATGATTGAACTAACAGAGTGGTCATAAGGCCTCAGAATTCCACCCTGTAGATACAGAATGCTCACGGCTACACTGCATGGTTGTTTAAACTGATACGAATAACAAAGATCAACTCCTAATGCAAAAAGAATCAGGATGGTAACGTTTGCGTCTGTGATAGAGTGGATCTTCCTAGTGTGAAGGTTTCCCCTTCACCAGAGTCTTACAGAATAACCCCAGAGTGGAAGACACAGTCTGTGAAAACAGGTCTTAGGAAGACTGCCAGAAAAACAAACAATAAAGAGCCAAAGTTTTTTTTTTGTCTCTTCATACTCTAGCATGGCCTCCTGTGGTGACCACGGTCTGGGAAAGTTTAGGGTAGATGAATGGCGGTGTAATCAATCACCCAGAATCTGGCTGTGTCATACCAGAATTTCCAGAGCCAAATTTCTTACTTTACATTATTTTGGGTTGATTCTGCCCCTTTTCACACATTAATTGTGTGTGTGTGTGTGTGTGTGTGTGTGTGTGTGTGTGTACGGGTGCGCACCTGCACGCACACGCGAATTTGTCTGCATGTGACAAGCTTGGGTGTCATTGTTTAAGGGCCACCCACTTGTTCTTTGAGACAGGGCTCTTACCATCCTGGAACTCACTGCCTAGGCTGGGCCAGAGAGCCCAGGGATGCTCCTGTTTCTACCTCCCCGGTGTTGGATTCACAAGTGTGCACCACCATGCCCAGCTTTCTCACAGGGTTTTAGGGAACTGAACTCGGGTCCTCGTGTTTGCAAGGCAAGCACTTTATTGCTGAGCTATCACCGCAGCCCTGGAACATTAGTTTTTAAAACATCACGCCTATATGAACACCACAGCAAGAGAGACAGTAGCAAAGAAAATAAGACTTGGTTCTCAAAAGACCTGAGGTTTAAATGGTAATGTGTGAGCAAGTGATTTTAACAGAGGACATTAAACTAGAGCGACGGCTGATACCAGCGGTTGTAAACCCGACCTTCCTTTCATAGATGGCGACCTCCCACCCCTTGAGCCCTTTGTTCAAGGGTGGTGCAATTCCGTAAGTGTGTTAAGAGGTCACCGAGGGGAGCCCTGACGAAAGGCTCTAAATATGGCAGGCTCACCTCAGACCTTACTATTTAGAGAGGCCCCTCCTCACCTGTCCCATTCATCATTTCTGCTGAAGTCTGTTTGTTTAGCCGGAAGTGTGGGGACACCAGTGAGAAACCAACATCACACACGTGTGGCTGGAATGGGGACAGTGATATTTTTATATTATCCAACCAACTGCCAGCTCTTAATAACCATTTCCTCATGCCATCTTAACAATGACACCGTTTTCTATCCTTGGAAATTGTTATAGCTCTGTGCGTCTCATCCCAAAAGAAAGCTGAAATGGGGAGAAGAGGCGGAGTTACAACACCCCAGTCAAGGCGGTGGGGAGAACTGACAGGCATTTCTCGACGCCACAGCCTAGCCGTGTGTGATGGAATCTCAGACGCTTCTCATCAGGTCATGCAAACATTTCATTTTAAACATCCTTCATAGAATCACAGAATACGGTGAAAATTCTGGCAGTGCGGTAGGCACCCCTTTCCCCAGGAGCAAGCGTACCTGGGGCATCACTGAGGCTGAACGCGATGCGCACTGGCTTGTCTGCAGGTACCCTGGCTGTGCTGATCATGTGGGCGCCTGAGGCCCGGCCTTCTCCTGGGTCTTCCAGCTGTAAGGACAAGAGATACCCATTGTCACTTTACCCAGCGCTGGTCTAGAACACCCCATAGACCCTCAGAAACTAGAAGGGAAAGTTAGTAAGTTGCCTTTTCTCATGTTGTAGATTCCTGGTCCATTTTAACTTTTTTCTGGCTTCTACAAAAATTACTTTGATAATGGACATTCAGAGTGGATGAAATGTGGTTTTTAAAATCTCTATTTCATATTCTCAATATCCCTTCCCATTTATAAGTTTAATCCTGACTTTGGAAGGTCACCTATAATGTTGTTGGTTTTTTTTTTTTTTTAATGGGAACAACATAGAAAAGATACCATCTTAATAGATTTCAGATAACGTCAGACTCAGTTACCTTTCTAGCTTAAAAGCCAATTTAGGGGATGAGGAGATGGCTCAGCTGGAGAAGTGCTTGCCATTCAATTAGAAGAATCAGAGGTCAATCCTCATGTAAAAAGGAGGGGGCAGGGTGGTACACACTGGTGACCTCAGTAACGAAGAGACAGAGACAAGAAGATCTCTGGGACCCCCAGGGCAACTTGCCCAGCTTAACTGACAGCAAGCCCCAGGGACTAGTCAGAGACCAGGTCTCCCAGAACGAGGAAGACAGGGCCTGAGAAATGACTCCGAAGGTCGGTCTGTGTCTTTCATGCTTGTGCACACCCGCACACCCATGCAGACACACAACACGCAGACACACAAAGCCGAAATTAAAAACAATGTTTTGTTTGGGAAGGAGTAAAGAATCAATACAATGAAATCATTTGAAGTCAGTCCCAAACCATCTTTAACCATGTTACACTTGTTGCATGAATATCGCATTCGCAACTATCTGATGTCCTAGAAATCTATCCGACATTTATGCTTAAGGTTTCAGCTCATGAGAGCAGGCTCCAGCAAAACTTGCCCGTGGGGCACACAGCTGTAATTACCAGGGCTTGGGCCGTGGCAGTGGGAGGATCGGCCGATCTGAGCTAATAACTACTAAATAGAAAGTTTGAAACCAGCTTGGGCTACATGAAGCTCTGTCTTTTAAATCAAAACAAAACCCAAAAACATCCTATGAGGATTTGACTCTACCTATTAAATTATCATCTAGTCAATAAACTTAGAGCTAAGGAGTGAGAAACATCCTTTGCGTAAGATAGCAAGAGCAAAAACTGTACCTAAGGGAATTTAACATAATTATACTTTGAGGAAGATATTTGATAATTTGATGTTCAGTGGGTCTAGGAAAACATGTTGTAATAAACACATAATATGGTTGTTATTTAGATACATATATTTAACATTTCTATTTTGGGTCATTCCTCTCTTAAACTCGCTCCTCTCCATCTCATGTAGGCAGAAAAGAAAAAAAAAAAACCTGCATGACATTTTAAGGAAAATGTCTCCAAAAATGGCAAAATATAAATAATGTCTTTAGCCATCCTTGGCAGGATCCTGGGAACCTCTGCTCCAGAACATTTTCTCATGGTCAGGTCTCTTACTTTTTCCCATAGCTTCTCTGTCTAAAAATAGTGTCCAGAGGGCTGAGTGCTGTTTTTACAGTTACTTAGGCGGGCAAGCTCAGGACACACATTTGTACCAGTACACTCAGATGCGCATACATTTTGAACCATCTTAGGTACCATATGGAAAGAAAAAAGACTTATATTAACCACCCAGTAAAGCTAATAAATAAATAAATAAACAGAGCAACTGTCTGTGAGCCACTCAGAGCTCTGCTAAGCCCATTAAGTTAACCCTATGAATAGCTCTGAGCCTCGGACATTCTACACACCGTGGCATGTAACCATAAGTTACAAAAGGATGGTATCCTGGATTTGCCATGATTTAACACAGGATTTCTTGCTTTTACAAAAACAACCCTCTGCAACACTGCTGTGTAGATTCCTCTGCCTGGTATCAAGTATTCTTTTAGCCACCTGCCTCTGAAGAAATAGCGCAGATTGTCTCAAACACAACAAAGCAAACAAAGGCCCCAGAAGTTGCAGCTGAAAGGCAAAGTCTTGCTGCTGGGCATCCCACAGCACCCAGTCCACCTGAGCGTGACTTCGAGGGATAACCTAGCTTGCTCCTCCTCCGGTTCACCCCTCCACACTTTCCCACGTGAAGAAGCGCACGAGGTTGAAATCTGTCTCTGGGGCTTACTCAACAGACCTCTGCTCCGGTTTCAAGCTAGAGAGATGAAATTGATGAGCACAGCTAAGGACCGCACAACAGAAAATATCTGTCTCCCTCTGAAAGAATGATGCCAAGGTCCTGCGGATGTTGTGATCCACACAGCGTCTATGACTTGCCTTTCCATCACACCTCCTGGGGAAAGCGGCTGCTGGTCCCTTCTCCTGGCCGCTGTAATAGAGCCTTAGTTAAGCTGCCGGTCGGTGCTCAGAGCGGTTAGTTGCGTCTCACACCTGCTGCCTTACCTCACTTAGTGGAGAGTCTGCACTTGTGTAATCCAGGGCCAGCCACTGCCTTGGCCAGTCGTTGCGTGTGTGGAGTCAAGACGCAGCGAGAAAGCAGTCTGCACCTGCTGCATAGCAGCCACTGACACGCTGAGGGGCAGAGACAGCTGTCCCGGCTCTACACCACTACCTGCTCAGCCCCAGACCCCAGAGTCCCAGCCCACGGGACCTCCCCGTTCCGCTTCCTTGCACAGCCCCTCTCTCCTTTCCTTGCCACTCCAACAGCCAGGATGTTGTCATGTTTCTAGAAAAAGCAAGAGCAAAAGAAAAACCCTCCTCCTGTCAGAAGCATTGATAAACAGCGAGTTGTTGAGAGTCCAAATGTTTTAATTCATTAGTCCTGGCAAACCTAAAATACAAACAGTCTTGCTTCACGAGACAGGAATGTCTTCGCGGTGACCCAATCTGTGTCTGTGTCTATTCCAGCAAACTGGCAAAGATAGCATGACTCTAGTCAGCAAAAATGTCAGCGCTGCTAGGCCCAGCCAACTTGGACAGGCCACTAGCTGACTCTTGGATCATAGCTGTGATGATCCCATTAAGAAGGCGAGGTCTGAGGTCGAGCAGGGCCTGAGCTTGATGACTTGATCCATTCTACAAATGCAGACATTCACAAAGGGGGTCAGTGGTGAACAGGGAACATGAGAATCCTTTGACCTTCGTTTTACAATTGTAAACTTGAATGTCTTGGGTATTTAAAAATAACTGAGCCATGATGCTAAGGTTAGATAGTTAAATATGAATAATATTGACAGAATGCAAACACAAGCCACCAACTGAAAGAAAATACCTGCCAGATTCACACAGGCATTCAAAGTCTGCAAGGAAATCTTCAACTGAGCAATAGGGAAACAATCAAGTCCGGAAAGAGGGACAAGACTCTTGAACAGACATGTCATCAGCAGGGGTGAAAGGATGACGGGTAAAGCCATGAAACATGACCCGCTTTTATGTCACTAGAGAGTCGCAGGCTGAAACAATGCTGCACTGCTGTACACCTGTCCCCATGGCCCACATCCGCAAACAAATGGTCAAGTACATATGTAAAAGAATGGTACTTCACTTCTCCTGGGAATGCAAAGTGGGAAAGGAACTTCGGAGTGCAAACTGATCATTTCTTCCTAAGCTAAACACATCCTTACCACGCAATCCATCAATCACAGGCTGCTGAGTGGCCCAGCATCCAGTTTCACATGACATTAGATTGGAATTATCTCGATGCACATATTCAGCCTCAAAGCAATAAAAGTTGTCCATCCTTTGGGAGCTGAATGGGAGGTGAATAGTTGCTGTGTCTTGAACCTTAAATGTCATCCAAAGGTCCATGCACTGAAAGCTTGCTCTGCTACCCACAGCACAACTGGGAGGGGGTGGAAACTTTCAGGGGTGGGGTCTCACTGAAGAATTTAGGTGACAGAGGTGTGTGCCTTAGAGAAGATTATCAGTGTCCCAGCCCCTCCTCATCCTCTCTCTCTGCCTCCTGAATGTAGTGATGTGAGCAGTTTCTTGTATCACATCCTCCATGATAAATTGCCTCCCCACAGGCACAAAGGCCACAGGACCACGTGAGTATGGGCCACAGCCTCTAAAACCATGAGACCAAACTAATTTTCCAGGCTTATAAGTTGACTTTCTTAGGTCCTTTGCCAAAACAGTTAAAACTAATGTGGCATCACTTCTTTATTGATTGCCACCTCAGCTCTCCAGGTCCACCTCTAGGAAGCCTGATGGTGACACTGATGTTGCTGAAGTTATCAGTAGCTGCTAGCATCTGGATTCCAGTGAAACTGAGTTAGGGATGGAAAAACAGACTGAGGCAGCCCCTTTCTTAAAGTGACAGTTCACACTACATACATGAAAATCATCTCTTTCCATGGTTGTGGAACTAGTACCTGACAGACGCAGCAGCTCTCTGTCCCAGAGTCACAAAGATCCTGGAGGCTTCCCAGAGCACAGGCTGTCACACTGATGGCTACATCTTCTACATGTCAAAGATGTCTTCAAGACGGTGGTGGGGCAGATGTTATGGAGGTAAAGATTGTGACAAAGGATAATTTGGCAACAATAAGTAGGGAATAAATACAAAATGTCAAAACATTTTAAATATGCTCTGCCTGAACCTGGGAATATAAATTGAACCTTTTCCAACCATAACACCTACTAACTCTTTTGTTGTCTTATGAGTGATGGTGCGTCTCTGGACTTGTTACCCACAACACACTCAAGACAACAACAAACAGGAAACACAGTGAAATTTATTTCCACAACTGAAACCCAAAATAACTACATGGCACTTTAGGAATGCAAAAGAATTAAGCAAAATTCTAATATATGTGCACCTGAAAATACTAACACATTAACAGTATGTGTCTGAGTGATACTAATACCCAAGAATTTTATTTTATTCTTTTCAGCAATAGTACTTCACTGTTTGTGTTAGTCAGCTTTCCATATCCATGACAAAATACTCGAGGTAAATCAAATTAAAGGAGGAAGGACTTGTTTCGTCTCATGTTTCAGGGACTTCCTTCCATGGTAACTTGGGCCCATTGGTTGGAGTCTGTAGCAGAATCGTGCATCATTGCAGATGTATTTGATGGAGAGGGTGTTCTCCCTCATGGACAGAAGCAAAGGGAGAAAATTCAACAGTCTCCTAAGTGTCCCAGCTGAGGATCAAATCTAGAACATATGGGTCTTTGAAAACCCTCTAGACTCAAACTAGATCATTGTTATTTGGGGAGTTATCTTAAGCAGAAGGGGACTTTGGGCTGGGAATAGTGTGCATGCCTTTAATTCCAGCACTTAGAAGTCAAAAGCAGGAGGATCCCTGATATGGGATTCCCCTCTGTATGCTATGAATATGTTTTATTGCCATTGGTTAATAAAGAAGTTACTTTTGGCCAATGGCTTAACAGAATATAGTCAGACTGGAAAAGATATAGAGAGAGAGTAGGTAGTGTCAGAGAGAAGCCACATAGCCATCGCAGGAGACAGACACCAGACACAGGACAGAACCTTACTGGTAGGCCACAACCACGTGGCAATAGATTAATAGAAATGGGTTAATTTAAGATATAAGTGCTAGCCAATAAGAGGCATGAGCTAATAGGCCAAAGAGTTGGCTTCATAGTGAGACCCTAGAGTGTGTGGAGAGAGTGGGGGGGAGTTGGAAGGGGGCATGGGAGGTGTGGTGGATCTAGGAGGAATTAAAGGAAAGAATAGGGAGTAGTATGATCAAAATATTTTAATGGAATTCTCAAAGAACATAAAATGTTTTCAAGAAAAGCTAACAATGAATTAAAGAGGGGTAAGAATACAAGAGGCAAACGATTGTTTCACACTGTGTTCTGGGCACAACACAGCTGATGTCATCATGGTCTCACAGGCACTGAGGTTGCCTTCAGTGACCTGCATAGGATTAGACCTGTCAGTCGTCAATCATGTGTGGATCAGGGAGGGTTCACCAGGAACCTTACACTCTCTGCTGCACTATTGGCTGTGATGGATTCTGGGGTGGGGGTGGCTATTTTATCCCTCCTGATGAGCCCACTGACTGGGCTCTGATGGTCACACAGATGGCTCTAATTACATTTAATGTATCACAAGCAAAACAAAACTACATGAATAGAGGAAAGACACTTGAAGTGATAATGAAGGAGGGGGAGAGAAACAGAAGAGACCTGACAGTAATCAGAATATACTATATATATGGAATTGTCCAAGAACAAATACATTAAAGCTACTTTTTAAAAGATTAAAGTACATACACTTACTGACTAAAGCTAAACCAAGGAATAGTAGATAAATATTTATGAAAACTGGGACAAAGAACATAATGAACTTGCACATGCGTGCACACACACACACACACACATGCACACACATTCACCTATGTGAGTGTAAATCAGACACTTCACAGCTCCGTGCCCTAGTTTGCTTGACTAGGCCAGCAAATTTGCTGTAAAGAGTCTGATAATGAATATACTGAATGAATAAAAAATAAGATGCTCAGCATCCTTAGCCATGAGAGAAATGCAAATCAAAACTACTTTTGAGATTCCATCTTACACCTGTCAGAATGGCTAAGATCAATAACACAAGTGACAGTTTATGCCAGCAAGGATGCGGAGCAAGGGGAACACTCCTCTACAGTAGGAGCGCCAACTTATACAGTCATAATGATGATCAATGTGACAGTTCCTCATAAAATTGGGAATCAAACTACTTCAAGATCCAGCTATACCATTCTTGGGCATATACCCAAAGGAAATTTCATCCTACCACAAGGATACTTGCTCAACTGTGTTCATTGAGACTTTATTCATAATAACCAGAAACTGGAAAGCACCTAGACGTCCCTCAACAGAAGAGTGGATCAAGTAAATGTACATTTCCACAATAGAGTATTACTCAGTTGTTAAAAAAAAAAATGGCATCTTAAAATTTGCAGGCAAATGGATGGAACTAGGAAAGAAATCATCCTGAGTGAGGTAAGTCAGTCTCAGAAAGAGAAATATGGTATGCACTCCCTTATAAGTAGATGGTTCAGCAGTTAAGAACACTGGAGGACCGGGGTTTGGCTCCCAGCACCCACATGGCAGCTCACAACTCCAGTGTCAGGGTATAAAAAAAAAAGACAACTTCTTCTAGCCTCCACAGGCTCCAGACTCTTATCACGACACACTTGATGTATGTGCAAACAAAACACCCAAGCACATAAAATAAATAAATAAATTCAGATGAGAATGTGCCCGGCTATAGTAAGGATGTAGAAAGAAGCATATTAAAAGACATAATTTTGGGCTGGAGAGATGGCTCAGAGGTTAAGAGCACTGGCTACCCTTCCAGAAGTCCTAGGTTCAATTCTCAGCAACCACATGGTGACTCACAACCATCTGTAGTGAGATATGGTGCCCTCTTCTAGCCTACATGCAGACAAAACACTGTATACATAATAAATAAATAAATCTTAAAAAAAGACATGGTTGTATGTGAGAAACTGTAGGTTTTTTTATTAAACAGATTTTTTAAAAATGTAAAAAAGAAGTAGGTGGTGGATAATTACAAACTTTTAAAAAATATAAAAAGCATAGCAACCATACATTTGGATTTTAGATAAAAAATTAAAAATGAGTTGAAGAAATAAGATGATCAAGGAAAGTAGATGTTTGAAGTGCCTGGATAATGAATTAACCATAAAATCAATGATTCTAGGAATTATTGTTTTCAATGCCATTGATTGATATAATAGTATTCTTTGGTTATGTTTTTAAAAGGGGTGCTGTTGCCTTTTGGGGGTACACACTGGAATATTTACAGATGATTAGAAATTTAGACTATCTTTAGGATAGCATTTAGAAAACTAAATCTATCTATATTGCAATAAAAAACAAAATGTAAGACTTAGTTACACTATTTCTTCTAGGTTATATTATTGGGAAACATGTGGATGTTGGATTATATAAGATAAATATGATTTTCTTATTACCTAAAGCCATTAGAGGAAATTTTATTTTCTCTCCAAGAGCTCAATGTCTAAGCTGTTGTCAGAATAGGAACACAAATGTCAACTTTAATCAATGACAACTGAAAAACTCTGGGAGAATAAATCTTTTCTTTGAATCTTTTAAATAAACCATTTTTAAAAAACAAAGACAAAACATCATTTTATTCCAGTTGGGAAAGCTCTGGTTTATCTAATGTAGGTTTTGTGGCTAGTTCTTCCTAGACCAAGAGCCTGAGATGAAATTTTGCCCCACTATCTGTTTTGGTGTGGCCCAGCACCTAGAAATGTTTTTGTTTTTGTTGTTGTTTGTTTGTTTGTTTTTCACTTTTAATAAAATTTGTGACATTTGAAAATTGTAAGAAATACTAACATTATTGTCTAAAATGCAGTTTTCCTGGCATTCTTTTAAACAATGTATTTGCTATTTTTCCAAATAAAATTTTATTGGAGTCCTTCAGGGTTTGTCTATTGTCTGTGTCTGCTCAGTTTAGGTAGGGAGTGAGCAATTATGATCAAGGTTGTGTGGCTTGCAAAAGTTCCTCAAAGTCATTCTACAACTTCTTCTTTCCTCTTTTACTGAAAATGGATTCTTTTCTCATACAATATATTCTGATTCTAGTTTTCCCTCTCTCTATTCCTCCCAGGTCCCTCCCTCACCTTCTCTCCCCTCCAGATCCATTCCCTTTCTGTCTCTCATTAGAGAAGAACAGGCTTCTAAGAGATAGCAACCAAACATAACAAAATTAAATATAATAAGATGATGCAAAAATTATCATATTGAAGTTGGACATGGTGACCCAACAGGAGGAAAAGAGTCCCAAGATCAATCACAGGCCAGAGACCCACTTGTTCTCACACTCAGGAGTTCCACAAAAATGTTAAGCTAATAGCTGTGCTATATATGCAGAGGACACGGTGTTGACCCATAAACACACTGTGCTTACTGCTTCAGCCTCTTTTAGGTCATACGTACCTTGCTTAGTTGGTTCAGAGGGACTTGTTCTCCTGTGTTCCTCCATCCCTTCTAACTCTTACACTCTTTCTGCCTCCTCTTCTGTGAAATTTCCTGAGCTCTGATGGGAGGAATTTGATGGAGACCTCCAATGTAGCCTTTCTCTTCACAAAAATGTCTGACCATGGTTTCTGCATTTGTTTTCATCTGCTGCTGGAAGCCTCTCAGATGATTGCTGGATAAGGCACTGATCTATGGGTACAGTAGAATATCATCAGGAATTATCAATTTTGTTGTTGTTGTGTAGACCCATAGTCTCTGGTCTCTGGGTTATCTCATCTCTGGTTCTTGGTTACCCAAGCAATGCCAGGTATGGGTTCCTTCCTGTGGAGTGGGCCTTATGTCAAATCAGACATTGGCTGGCTATTCCCACAAGTTCTGTGCCACCATTGCTGTAGCATATTTTGCAGGCAGGACAGATTGTAGGTCAGAGGTTCTGTGGCTGGGTTGGTGTCCACATTTCTCTTTCGGGAGCCTGCAGAGAGCCTTCCTGAGCCAAAGAGACTGGTAGGTAGGAGTGAAGGTTACCACATGGGCACCAGCTCAGATTCTCCATGTTCAACAAGCAGGTGTTGTCCTCAGAAGTAGGGCCCCATTGTCAGTTTGGGTAGAGCAACCGCTTGTCTTAGCAGCAGCCAGAGTTGTTTGGGGATTTCTTTGGGACCCCCTTGGCTAAGAATGCAACCCCAGTCACGCCACTGGAAGCCTCACCTGACTACACTCTGGATCCCCCATTATTAGGAGCACCCATTAGGATCACGTCTATAGGTTCCAGGGAGTTTCTACTGCACTAGGTCTCCACAATACCCCTAAGTGCCCCCTGATTCAAGCTGAATTTATTTATTTATTTTATGTACATAGTGTTTTGTTTGCACATACATCAAGTGTGCCGTGATACGAGTCTGGAGCCTGTGGAGGCTAAAAGAAGTTGTCTTATACCCTGACACTGGAGTTGTGAGCTGCCATGTGGGTGCTGGAAGCCAAACTTAGGTCCTCCAGTGTTCTTAACTGCTGAACCATCTCTCCAGGTCCCTGAATTTTCTTTAAAAGACTACTTCACAGGAAGTAAGCACAATTCATGTCTCCACTTTTGATCTAGATTCCAATTCTGATGGTAACGTGTATTCAGCACAAGGGTAAGACTACACAGAGCTCCTAAAAACCAAGTCTATTATTTAAATACAAACAAGATAATACATTTAAAACACAGCTCAACTGAACACAGTGCATTTTTGAAATGAAACAAATGTACAGAGCATGAACACGGGACATTCAGAAATGCAGGTTCTCTGGATTCCTCCTGCCAACACTGCATCGCAGGTGAGCACTGGGCCCTTGTGGGGTTTCCTTTCTATGGCTTTTACAGCCTGTAGTTGCCTGGTGCCTGTGACATCATTGGTAGAACAACACACCATGCAGACAGCGATGAGCATCTGACGTCCATGAAAGCTGTTCATGCTCTCTGCTAATCAATGAAAACAGGCCTCTTAGAATCAAGCCTTAATCCGCTATATTCCCTGGGCCTCATTTTAAGGTCTTATTGTTACTTTGAATTATTAATGAAATTCTTTCAACTGTTCCTTAAAACTTCAAATTGACTGAATCTAGGAACTCCGGTTTCCAAATCTAGAGTTTGTCAAGCTGACAACCAAGATGAATGGTTACAAGAGCCGGCTGTTTTTGTATGGAAAACCTTCTATTTCCAGAAAGAATTAAAACAAAAACAAACAAACAAACAAACAAAAACCAAACCTCCCAAGTGAATGATGGCAAGAAAAAAAAAGAAGAGTAGATCTGAGTGACCCATTTCTTCATTTCTGAATTATTGCTAACCAAGTTAACATGACCTTAGCTTCCATAGAGCACAGCTGGGCTCAGAAACCTGGGAAACTCATGAACCTACTAGTTCTACAAGCAGATTTTATATAAGTTGATATTAAAATGATATAAACTGACTTTCTTCACCTTTGGGACAGCTCTAGTGTAGGCCAACTCCATTTCCAGTTGGAGTTCCTCTGTGAGAAGGCTGCTACTTGCCTGCACGTACCTCCAGATCTATAAGCACAAAAGGAAGAGAAGAATTCTTGTCCTGAGCCTTCGAACCAAGCCTGAACGCCACGGTCTTCACTGTAGTTAAGAGGGGGAGTACTGCACCACATGAGACCTGTAATGGGTCCACAGGTGACCTTGAGTATGGAGAGACTTATTTTCTCACCTCATCTTGAAGGAATTTATGTTAGGAAGGAAGGAGGAATAAAAGAAGAAGGGAAGAAGGGAGCAGGAAGGGAGGAAAAGAGGGAAGGAGGAAGGGAGGGAGGGAGAGAGGGAGGGAAGGAGGGAGGGACGGAGGGAGGGAGGGACGGAAGATGGATGGAAGAGGAAAGTGGGTGAAGAAAAGGAAATTCAAAGGTTCTAAGCTAATACCTTCACGGATAGAATGTGTTGGACTCATGAAATACCTTGGCTTCAAGATAAGGATGAGACACTGCGTGCAGGAGACAGACACCAACGGGCAGATATTCCGCTATCTGCACTAATTCGTGTGGTATTTAATGTGCAAGGCTGCCCTTTAACATTCCTGTTTTATAAAGGAACAGAGAGTTAGAAAGTCTCAAATATTTGCCCAATGTTCCATGACTCAGGAATTACACTCAGTTTCTTGCCAAAAATAAATCTTTTCAACAACGCACCAAAATTTTCTTCACCTTTGAAGAAGATGCTTTCCTATTGCTCCTTGAGAAGTTCTTTTTTTTTGTCTCTAAATATTTTTATTAATTCTTTGAAATTTTCATACAATGTATTTAATGATATTCACTCTCACTCCTCCCCCCAGTTCCTCCCAAATCTACCTCCCACCTTCCCACAACCTCCGAACTTCATGTCCCTTTTTAAAAACAATGAAGGGAGTCCAGTTTGTACTGCCCATATGCTCTTTGGTGTGGGGCCATCCACTAGACATGGCTGGCCTCTCAGGGGCCACACCCTTAAAGAAAACTGACTCGCCTTCCCCAGAAGCCACCAACAGCTAACACCTTCTTGGCGAGTGGCAGAGGCTTGTGAGCCCCTCTCTCCTCCATGCTGGAATACTGACCATCTTGATCTGGTACAGCGAGCCCCTCTACCCTCCAAACTGGAATACTGACCATCTTGATCTGGCACAGCTCTTGGGATGTCAACCACAGCTGCTGGGAGTTCATGAGCACACTGGTCCTTTCACGTCCACAAAACACTGCTGTGGACAGATACTCTTGGACCTTCAGGGTAAACAGCTTCTTCTCAATAGAGGAAGAATACAAAGGGGCTTGCTTATTTTACCGATCAAATACTGTAGATACAAATTTGACAGCTTCCTCCAGTGAACTGAATCATGAGTTATGCCTTGTGCAAGAATTTACTATGACATCCCTATAGACCAGTGGTTCTCAGCCTTCCTAATGTTGTGATCCTTTCATACAGTTCCTCATGTGGTAGTGACCTCAATCATAAAATTATTTTTGTTGCTATTTCATAACTATAATTTTTCTACTATTATGAATCATAGTGTAAATATCTGATATACAACCCCAGAGGGGTCACGACCCACAGGTTGAGAACCACTACTATAAATAGCATTAGAACTAGATAGAATCTCAGTCAAATGCCTTCTTCAGGAAACCGTACACAAGAGAACAAAAGGACAGTGCTGAGAACTCAGTGTCCACATTTGGAGGGATACTTCCAGTAGCAGCCTTGTCCTCATCAATTTTACTTTCTAGACATGTACACATACCACCAAACACAACCTTTGAGAGCAAACTATGACCCTGAAAAGGAAAGAATGTATAACGTTTGAATGTTTACAGAGGTTTCTGTCCTGCCTGGTCCCACAGCCCTTCAGTCCCAAAGAAACACACAGAGGACTACATTAATTATAAACTAGTTGGCCTATTAGCTCAGGCTTTCTTGTTAACTAATTCTTACATCTTACAGTAACCCATAATTCTTGTCTGTGTCAGCCACATGGCTTGGTACCTTTATTAGTGAGGTATTCTCCTCTTGCTTCCTCTGTGTCTAGGTAACGACTGCAGACTGACCCTTTCCTCTTCCCAGAATTCTCCTGTTCTGGTTACCCCACCTCTACTTCCTGCTTTGCTACTGGCCAACCAGCATTTTATTAAACCAATACAACTGACAAATATTTACAAGGTACAAGATCATTGCCCCACTGAAGGCGTAAGTCATAAACAATGCCACACCAGTTTGGAATTGTGATTAATAGGGTGGTATTTATTTAAAGGGGAAAAAACTTACAGATCACTGTCAGCCCTCTGCGCAACCAGGAAGGGAGTCTAGTCGCCGGCGGAACAGGAAGTGAAGAGAGAGAGGAGAGGGAAGTGGCCGCTTTTTTAAAGGGAGAGAGACCACGCCCCAATAGGCTGGTATCTTAGCAGCTATAGGCTGGAGGAGTAGGAGGACCTCCCGTAACACCTCCCCCTTTTGTTTAAATAAGAGAGTTCTAAACCTACTATGAAATTATATACAATAAGTACAAATATCCTATTCTAACTAGCTTAGGTCTTGTATAATAAATAACTTGGCCAAGTCATGAGAGAAAGTAACTGCATTTATATAGTCTTCAACCCCATCGAAGATCTGAGAAGGGAAATAATGTTACCTGGGTAATTAGGAAGTTCAGTAAAACAACTTCCAAAACATGCAACAAATCACAGAGACAACTAGCTACCTAGGCAATCACCCAAAGTCACATTAGCAGCGTTGAAGCAACCAACATTGGCTAAGGCCTAACATAACTGACATACCATTTTTCAAAGGCAAGCAACTTTTCAAAACTATCTTACCCTGTCTTGGCAGGATATGACAGCCCTGTTTTATCCATTGATGCATGCTCTGTATCTTTGTCAGTGGTTGGGGTATGGGCATTTCTTTGCCCCAAGGCCAGTTCTGCCAAAAAGAAGGCTCCAGGTGGAGTGTCTTTGGTGCTCAACATTCTCTCGGGAATAGAGCGGTGTTGCCAGGAGCAATTGTGTCTCACTACCGCAAAACTCTGAGTTAGATTAAAGGCCATTTTCTACAGCTCTTTGAAGAAGTTGAAGATTATCTATCTATACTGAGTATAATCTCTATATACCTAAAGAACCTGATTAGTCTAATTATAAATGACAAACTTAGATGACTATTAGTCTATATAATTCTCAATATCTATCTAACTTAAAGACTAAGACAATAAACGACTGTGAAACAAATGAGGACAATGGCCTCCAAATATAAACAATGTACAAATATACATTGCAGTAGGTAAATATATATCAATACACAAACATTATATAAGTATCTTAATCAGAGGTAGAAATGTACACTGCAATATGGTAAATATATACAATATATATATCAATACAATATATGTCAATACATAAAAAATGTTTTAAGCAGAGGTAGAAACATGCATGCTTACAATAGTCAATATAATTTAACTTTGTGTCAATATACAAGAATCTATACCAATATATTTGTCTAAAAACAGTAACTCACAATTACAAATCTATTATCCCATCATCCCTCTTTTTTTTTTTCAAAATGATCCCTGAGCTTATAAAATTCCTCCCCCAACCCTTAATCGTACACTAATTATAATCAACCCCTAAATGATGTCCCTAAACCCAAGGGCAAACTTTACTGGGAGAGGGGACGTCGTCCTCTAGAATTACTTCCAGCTGTCATGGGGGCGACGTTCTTTCTGGGGGATCCTGTGAAAGTAAAATGATGGTTAAATTTCAAGATCAATGTCTTTTAAAATTGCCAATAGTCTCTGACTATTTTGTGCAGGTCTGGCCAAAATGTTGAATAAGATGTGCACCATTTCAGCTAACCAAGTTGGAACTGTCTTGTGCAGCTGGTATCCAAAGCAGGTCTTGTAGTAGTGCTATCAGTATCATGACGTCATATCAACCAGGTGGAGTTGTTGTTATGGGGCCCCATCTTCTTCCTGGAAACTTCAAATGTCACTTCAGGAAAAACTCATTGTTCAATATGAAAAACTTAAACATTAATCATATAGACATATATATATATATATTCAATGAAAGACATGATAGATATATTCAATGAAAAGTATGATAGATATGAAGAAAAGCAAAGATGTTTTCTAAACTCATATTTCTTTCTGTCCCACATCATGGCTCTTGACATGAGACAGAAACTCCAGAAACTCTGGGTTTTTCTCTTACTAACAGGCTTGGAATTGGAGAGGGACTGAGCCAGAGTCCAACTTCAAAACCAGCTTTATAAATTTAGAAATATGGTTTAATTTTACTTGCACAACCCATTCAGTTTTCTTGATATTTCCTATTGAGCAGGTATTTTTCCATCTGTCAGTATCCAAATATCCAGGGTCCCTTGAATTTTTCAAAGATGAGTGTTTTCCTGTGGAGATAAGAACAGAACCCTGCCCCATTCTGTATGTTTTTCTTATCACCTGTATGAATATCATCATTGTGGATAAGTTGTCATTTCTCCTTTCCAAGAGGTTTCTCCTCTTCAAATCGAAACTTTATTAATTTTGATGGTATCCACAATTTTTCTTCTCCTGTGGAAACAAGAGCAAAACCCCTTCCCCAATGTAGCACATCTCCTGGCTTCCATTGAGAGGTCAGCACATCTTTGAAATAAATCGGTTGATTTAGTTCAGCAGACTTTTCCATTATCCAATGTCTCTCTGCTGCTGTCGTTCCTTTCTCATTAGCGTTAAGAAAATTCAAGGTTAATAAAGCATTATGTAATCTATTCCTGGGGGTATTTTCGGTCCCTTTCTGTTTGTTCAGCATATCCTTTGTAGTACGATTTGATCTTTCTATAACTGCCTGACCTGTAGGATTATTTGGTATACCTGTAATGTGTTTTATATTATAATAATCAAAAAAGCATTTCATTTTCTTAGATACATATGCTGGACCATTATCTGTCTTTATTTGTGCAGGTATACCCATGATGGCCATAACTTCCAATAAATGTGTGATTACTGAATCAGCCTTTTCTGAGCTCAGGGCAGTAGCCCATTGAAAACCTGAATACGTGTCTATGGTGTGGTGTACATATTTTAATTTACCAAATTCCATAAAGTGGAACACATCCATCTGCCAGATTTCATTTCTCTTAGTACCCTTTGGGTTACACCCTGCAGGCAACGGTGTTTGATTATAGAAAGAACAAGTAGGACATCTCTTTATAATGTCCTTAGCTTGTTGCCAAGTAATGGAAAATTCTTTCTTTAGGCCTTTACTATTGACATGATGCTTCTTATGAAATTCTAAGGCCTGCAACACACTTCCAATCAATAACTGATCAATCTCAGCGTTGCCTTGGGCTAGAGGACCAGGCAGACCTGTATGGGACCGGATGTGGGTTATGTACATCGGACAAAGCCTGTTCCTGATTATGTCTTGTACCTGGATAAACAATGAAGTCAACTCTGTGTCATCTGGTATAAATTCAGCGGTTTCAATATGCAAGATAACTCTTTCTGCATATTGTGAATCTGTAACTATATTAAGAGGTTCTTTAAAATCCCTTGGCACCATAAGAATGGCATATAATTCTGCCTTCTGGACAGAATTATAAGGGCTTTGTTCCACCTTACTCAATTAATCTGACTTGTAACCTGCTTTCCCTGATTTATTTGCATCAGTATAGAATGTACGGGCTCCAGTTATTGGAGCATCACATACAATTCTAGGAAGAATCCAAGAAGTTCTTTTTATGAGGTTAAGTCTACCACTTTTGGGATAGTTGCTATTAATTTCTCCCAAAAAATTAGCACAAGCTCTTTGCCATGGTTCATTATCTTCCCATAACTTTTCTATTTCTTCAGTAGTAAAAGGCACTATAATTTCTGCTGGGTCTATACCTGCTAGTTGACGAAGTCTCAGCTTACCTTTTATAATTAATTCAGAGACTTTTTCCACATAAGTTTTTAATTTTTTACTTGGTTTATTAGGTATAAATATCCACTCTAAAATAATATCTTCCCTCTGCATTAGAATCCCTGTAGGAGAAATTCTGGAAGGCAATATGACTAGGATGCAGCTAAGATTTGGGTTCACCCTATCCACATGTGCCTCCTGTAATTTTTCCTCAATCATTGTCAGTTCCT